GCGAGAGAGACAACTGTCAGTTTATCGAACCTTGTATTATTGGATCATGCTGGATACTAAGCTTTATAATGTAAAATAATAAATGAAATCTCGATCGGCGATCACTGAAACGCAGCTAGCCACTGTATATGCGAAAAAGCAATGTTGCCACTTTTTCTCATTAAACTATGTTCGAATCGTGGAAATTTTGGAATATCACAGGGTTGCTTTTAGCATTTAGATTCTTAATGCAAAAATGGAGTTGCATTTAGTTGCATTTAGGTGACGAATNTATGGATAAATATACATTTAGAGTAGCATTTAGAGCTAAATGCGCTAAATGTGCTTTTACGCGTAAGCAAAAACAGCCCATAACGTACATCTGCTTTGTACAGAAGCAAATCTAATTTTCCTTTACACGATTTGTTGGCATTTCCATAAGTAAAAACTGGCATGTACACATGCAAATACATATAGAATTTAAGCTTCCAAGTTTGGAGCTAGTTTTTTTATCTTGAAATATGTATGTGTGTACTTCCGCTTTCAGTTCGTTTCAGTTCCGTTTCCAATTGTATTTTAAGCGGGAATCATAGCGGATATGAGCTATTCACTTCACTTAACCCGGTTCACCACTCAAACTTTGCAAATTACAAAAATTAGTAATCACAACCGGCGCACCGCTTTGACACAACACACTTCTAAACGACGGCTCCCCAATTGGAGCAAGTACGTGTGAATGTGCGTATGACTTTTCAATGATTTGAAGTTGACATTTTTTAAGAGAGCTACTAGTAAATTCGCAAGTCGTGTTTGCAATAAAAGGAGTCCACTTATAATTAACTTCAGCTGTTAAGACTTTAATTACTATTAACTGATAAAAGCGAAGACAATCAAAAATGGGTAAGTTTGTAAAGAAACTTAAGTCAACATATGGTACATGAATAAATCGATTTTCATTTGTCCCTTTGTCATAGCAGCGAAACCAAAAGAAAACAGCAGTCTGCTTGTATCGGCGGTTTTCTCCTGCATGCTGAGCTTGGTAATATTCTGTATGATGCGTTTTTATGCCGAATGGATTGTTACCTCACAGATGCATGTTATGCTAATTGCGCTCATTGGTGCATTGCTATTTCTTCTCGCACTTGCAACTGTTTCTAGAACTGTGATTATGGTATTTGGCAGCGAGTTTCATGCTAAATTCATACCCGATATAATGGCTTGTGTGGCACTTGCAGCGGCAGCATTTGGTGTTGTGCATCGTGTTTGCACTACGACTTGGTGAGTCATTCGTCGTTGAAATTAGTTTTGTAATAAAAGAATTTAGTAAATACTTACTGTTTTACTTTTTAAAGGATTCTCTTTGGAATTGTGGCAGTATATGTGGTGAATCGCATCTTTAACAAATTTATTGATAAAGCGTCCATGCCGGAGGATATGTCATCACGCAAATCAGAGAAAATGAAGAAAAAGTTAAAGCGTCAACGTATATAATAAAATAATAATAACCACAATAGGAATATTGAGACAATCGATTTTTTGATTCAGTAACAACGGTATTTTTGAAATAGAAATTACTGGATTTTTTAAAGCGTTAACGGTTTTAAATATCAACATAAAAACATTTTTATAACTATTTCCATATGTCAAGCATTTTAATAAAAACAAAACTAAGCTTAATTGCGTACGAACATGCATACATATACACTACATAAATATTTGCATACATACATGCATGAATTCAAATATATGTAGAAAATTACATTTTTTCAATTAAATATGCCTTCATATAAGCAAATATTGCATATAAACTTAAATTTGGGAAACAAAAGCTTTAAATTAAAACCAATGTTGCTCGTTAAGAACAACAACATAACGCAATCCTTTTGAAGTTAATCTAAAACAATACAAAACTTGTACTTTTTATAATGTATAACGAAAAAATATGTAAGTATGTATTCCTCTTATAAATTTTGATACGTGAGTCGTTGATAAAAAATATATACATATATATGTATGCAATAAAATTATAGAAAAAAACAAGGGTACTCAAATTATAATTATAGAAAAAATAAGGGTATTCAAATATAAGGTATAAAAACTAATTCACTTTGTATCTGCCGCTTGAAGTAAAATTAAATAAAATTTGTATCAGTGCCAAAATATTTAAAATCATTTTGGACAATCTTAGGAGTTGTCATTTTTTATTTATTCTTGGCCGTCGTCGAGTGATTAGAGAAAAGATTCTTTCCCGTACGCAACGCGGGATCCCGCGGGTGCCCAAAACAGCCCAGAAATTATTCCCGTACTCAACAAAATGGGTAATAGAGACCGAAAACTGGAACGTATTTGATCGTAAGTGTCTTCTTCTTCCTGCCCGAAACAGCCCGGACTTTTTCTCCGGGTGAAAATGGATAAAGTGTCAAAGTGCATATCAGCTGTTTTGAGTTTACATGTGGCCTGCATTTAATTGGTGCTTTTAAGGTATAGTGAATCTATTTTCAATCTTTATATACTTAAAATCCATGATCCAACTACACAAGATCTGACAAAATGAAGCAAAAGAAAAAAGTAATTTTCTGGCTGACGTTTATAATTTCGATGCCATGTTATTTTCTTTGACAAAATAAACAAATAATATGAAGATGAAGCATAAAGATAAAGGCTTTGTTTCTTTTCTTTTCTAACAGATAGTTATCAGGAAGAAGAAGAATGAGAAAATTGAAAGAATTTAGCTCACAGAGAGCGAAATAACGAAAAAGTAAAGAAACGCAACACTAGCAAGTAATCAGCTGATTAGTGTATTTGACTATTGAAAATATGTGGCGCGAATTTTTGTTGCCCATTTTGACAGCTGCTAGTTTTACTAGCAGAAATTAGCAGGACAGCCAAAAAAAGAAAAGCGTAAGAACGAGAGAGAGCTGCTAGTTTCTGCAAGTTTTTTGGGTTAAGAAACGCTTTCTAGCAGAAATTAGTGATAATTAGTGATAATTATCTGTTAAGAAACAAATCTAAAAATGCAAACAATTTTGTAGCACATGTTTGTGCTAACCAATTTATTATTTTTGTACGTTTTTTGCAACCAATCACCGCGCATTTCACTTTATTTACATTTGCACAAAAAATTTATAGAAAATTGCTTAAAAGTCACTGAAATAAACCACCGACAAAATACACATAAAGAAAGAAGCCAAACAGAAATAGCAAACTTCAAAATTACGAACATCACACACTTTTTTCTCAGTTGCTATTACAAATGGCTGATTCTCAATCGGCCACATCTGCTCTAATTCGCATATTCTCTAATTACCGGATCCGGTTAGGGAAAGATCCTAACTATATGTACATACTAATGTGCGGTGGGGCCAAAGTTGGATTTTCGGTTTGAACACCCCCGAACAAAATTTTATTTTCTGTAACGGACGCTCCCGGCAAACTTAAAAGTACACTTGTGCCATGAAAGTTCTTCNTGAACACCCCCGAACAAAATTTTATTTTCTGTAACGGACGCTCCCGGCAAACTTAAAAGTACACTTGTGCCATGAAAGTTCTTCTCATAGAAACCATTTGCGATTCGGAGGCAGCGGAAAACTGTATTTGTGTGGCAACATCAAGACACATATCGCTAGGGTTGCCAG